GTTGAACTCAGTGCAAGTTTTTTGCACCAGTTTTATCAATGGAACATTAAACACTGAACTAGTTTTCACAGTGGAACAACACAATTGCACTCAGTGCGCCCCAGTGTTGCACCAGTTTTCCCAGTGGAAAAAACGCTATAAACCTTAGAACATATACTACTGGAAGGGGAATTGCCTATGCTACCCGTATACCAAACGTGATGCCAACATGTGTGCGAGAGAGAAAGGTATAGAGTAATATTTGCGCAATGCGCATGCGTCAGTATCATCGTCTGTGTGAATTGTACAGTGTAGTGTTCTCACACAGTGAGATTCACTTCGTATGTATGTACGTTCGTAAGGCCGACATAAAAACAGCATAAAGTAAAAGTAAATATGCCGAGCAATAGTAAATATTGTTTATTGTGTGGTAATACTGGTAATCGCGGAACTACTGCAGTTTCTTATTACTCGTAAGTTATTGTATGTAATATTTTATTAAGGCATTAATTATATAATAACATGTAGTTATGTTTACATATGTTATGGATATTTAATACATATTTCATATTTATTTCTTATTTCTTATTTTATTTATTTCATATTTATTTCATTTCTTTTGAAAAGGTTTCTCACATTGCATGCATTCTTATATTAAAATTCATTTTAACACTAATTTATTAAATACAATAGATTATGTCAATTTTATTGTTATTTTGTCTAAGATACGTAACCTAAAACTCCTGAAACAAACAGTAAAAATGCGTGAGAACACTAACACAACTGTACAATTCATTTCACACATACGATGGCACTGACGCATGCGCATTGCGCATATATTACTCTATACCTTTCTCTCTCGCACAGATGTTGGCATCACGTTCAGCGCCCTATTCTCCTTCCAGTAGTATATATTCTAAGCTATAAATCAACTGCACAATTCATACAGATGACGGTGCTGCGCATGCGCATTGCGGACATTTATCCCTTACTACCTTTCTCTCTCGCAAAGACGTTTGCATCAGCGCGAGCCATGGGAAGTATAGGCAATGCCCGTTCCATTTATATATGTTCTAAGCTGTTAATATAAGCGCGAGTCCCGTCTTTGAATATTTTAGGATTTTAGGGTGGTAGGTCATTTATCCTGACAGGAACTAGAGTCCTAGATATAATAGAGAAGCGCAATCGAGCATATTTAAAGGTTATAATTAATCGTCCAAAGAAAAAATGGCGACCTGTGTTTACATCTGTCATTCCGCAGAGTGCGATTCCTATAACAGTAGTGTTTCTACTAACTACAAGGAAACACTGATTCTCTTTCGAGACTACAGTATACATATATAAAGATTGAAAAATAATAATACTTACTGAAATTGGAGTAGAGTCTTAGAAGACTATCTGTAGAAAAAATGGCGGAACCAATCAGAAATCGGGACAGCGGTTGCTTCTCTGTTAGGAGAATTTAGGACTCTAACAGGAACGAAGGAAGGAAGAGAAAGAGGGGTAAAGGCCGCGAGCCGCGACTCACGCTCTCACGCACTCACACTCAGCAGTCAGCCATTTGAGCCACTCACGCTGGGAGTGCCGGGACGCGGGACGCGGTCCGCGGAGCAGAGGCCAGAGAGTGCCAGAGATTGGAGTGAGCGTCGTGAACGATCGTTGATTAGACCCGAGTTGTTTGCGGCTCTCCATTGGAATTGGTTGGAATCGAGTGTCTCTGAGAGAGGAGAAGAAAACGGAAGCGTAGTGTCGCCTGTCGCCGTGACAACTCGCGAAAAGGGTTAAATACGATATACGGAGAAGAGGGAAGAGGCAGAAGAAGAGCCGAAGAGGAGCAGTAACAGGTGGAATAGGTAACAACAAAAAGTTCGTTGCTCGAGAATCTACGACGATTGCGATGCGCGCGTTTCGCGACTGCCCTCGCACCGCTCGAAGGAACGTTCGCTCGCGTGCGTGGAAACGTTTCGCGAGTACGCCCGAATCGCACCGTTCTCGTTTCTCGGCTCTTCGAATGATCGGAGCACGAAATCGACGTTCCTCCACGGATCGACGCGACGCGACGCGACGCGACGCGACGCACAACCAGTCGATATTCACGCCAATTTAAAACGTAGCGGAGACGCGACCGTCGGTCGATCGTCTCACTCCGTTTTCATCTCGCCCGAGTGAGATATCGTTTTGACAGCTTTTCACAACCGACTCGGGTGACGGAGAGGATCGACAAGAACGAGGACAGTCGACGGAAACTTCTTTCCCTCCCATCTCCCATGTGAGTCTCGCTGCCTCGCAAGTGGAATCTGTGTTGTGGAGAACTCGCTTGTGACGTTTTGCATTTGTCTACGTTATAATTTCACCGCTCGATCGCAATCAGGGAAATTACGTTATAACGTTACGCGCCCGTGCACGAGTGAAGCCTCTAGTATACGTCTATATGTCCAATGATTAATGCGAGATATTCCTCACTGTTAGATATTGAAGGAGTAGAGGCAATCTCAAGTTCCTTGAGTTAAACATTTTGTTATTTTCAACTTTCGTCTAATAGCGTATTTCACTGGCAGAATCGGTGCGCACTCAGTGCACATTAAAGCTGTTGTACATTAACCTAATCTGACTGTAAAAGTGAGAGATCTCAGTTAATAAAATACCCAATGTATATTTTA